CCACGGTGACTTATTCATTAACAAGTAGGATTAGTACATAAACACCACTATCAGCTTGCGTCTGTTTATAAAGTTAACTCTCAATTATTGAGGGACCAATTAACTAGTCTGGAGGTTATGCGGGCATCACTCAGAACATCACTCAGAGAGTGTGGAGATGACCAAGCAAAAACTCTGAAAGAAAGATTATTCAGTTGTGCTCCATGTGAACAGTAAAGTCTGGGGGAAACTAAACTTATACATTTCAAAGTGCTTTGGGATTAGCTAAGGACAGAAATTCACATGGTGATGGTGAGCAGGGCTTCCTTTTATACTATATAAATGCTTGTCAGTGAGCAATAAAATTAAGGTATTATGAGTGCTAGTAAAAGTTAAAGAGTGTTATTTTTCTGGTATTAAAATCTAGTCAACAAATTATTACCAAATGTTTGCCATCCTATAAAAGGAAATGTTTAGTCGCCCACCTCTAGACAGGAGCTCAGAGAGGGAAGGCCTCAATTATGTTGACTTCAGGCAAGGACTGGCATAATTGACTTAAAGTGTCTTGCATTCATCACACAATAATTGTAATGAACCTTGGATATTACTGAAGTAACTACAAATAGATCTAAGCTGTTGGGGAGACACAAAGATTGATTTCGCATAGCACTTCACATTTTTTTCTTTATACTAGTTTGAGGGATAACCCATTTTAAATGATAACTCAATGTTCCTAAAATGTATGTGTAAACTAGAGATATTTCAGGCATAGTTTTTCAGTGGATTGTATTACAATTCAGAGGTGCTTCAAGGGGCGCCTGGATGGCTCAGTTGGTTGAGCATCCAACTTCAGCTCAGGTCACGATCTCGTGGTTCATGGGTTCGAGCCCTGCGTTGGGCCCTGTACTGACAGCTCAGAGCCTGGAGCCTGCTTGGGATTCTGTCTCTCTCTCTCTCTCTCTCTCTCTCTCTCTCTCTCTCTCAAAAATAAATAAACATTTTTTAAAAAGGTGCTTCAGAATCCCTTAAGACCCAAAATGTGGTGGCTCCTAAAATTTTACCTTTCACAAGATTCTATCTATCTCCCCATTCTTAACCACTGAGTACTTACTGTTTCATAAATAAATAGTGAAGAATCCTAATTTTAGTACCAATTAAGAAAATATTGTAGTGAATATTTTAGTATTGGTTTCTAAAGCCAAACCTTTTCAACTTGTGGAATCATGCCACAAGTATTAAATTTATATACATATGAAATTAGTGCTTTACTCCAGAAATGGATAGAGTGCTTTACTTTCTTGGAACCCTCTAGAATGAGGGTCAGCAGTTGCTTCTGTAATTGACTAACTAGTAAGTATTTCAGGCTTTGTGGCACAAGAGGCAACGTCAAGGATACTATGTAGGTACTTCTCCAAAAAGAGAAAAAACACATATGTACAACTTTTCATCAATACAGATCTCCTAATGAGCACAGTGGAATTTATTTAAGGACAGTGAAATATGCATTTCACATACTTTTCGTGTGTTATGAAATAGTCTCCATCTTTTACTTTTTTCAACCATTTAAAAATGTAGAAACCATCCTGGTTTGTCATCCTGACCATACAAACATAGGTGGGCTGGATTAGGCCCAGGGGCTGGAGTCTGCCTACCCTTACTTAGCCTGCAACACACGCTCTTTGACAGTAATTAGTCCATAACCCAGCCCCAGCGGGAATTCTGTGAGGGCTTTAAGTTGCTGAGCAAGTTCCATATTCAGAGTCCACGGCTTTCAGTGAAGTCCAGGATTAGGGGCCACTGTTCTAGAGGCGATCACTGACTTTTACGAGGTATTTCTAAGGCCCTGGTAGTTCCTAGGTACCGTGTGACCACTCTTGGGAATTCCTACCCTACCAGCTAATGCTGTTGGAGACGCTGGGAGTAAATAACTGTCTAGGTGACCTTGTTATTCATGAATCAGTTGTCTCCACCATTCTTCATGGTTTGTTTTTATAAGACCCGGAGAAAGCTGAAATTCCACCCCTCTGGTTCTCGGAGGAAAAACCTTCTCATATTTTCAAATATTTAGTAAATAATTTAGGTTCGAGTGAGTATCTGAAACAGATTTAAGTGTCCAGACCATTTCAGGTTCAGCCGGCTAGGAATTTTTTTCTTTAAAAGGTTCTTTACCCCCAAGATGGGTTCTTGTTAGCTCAACTGTCAGGCAGGGCTGCAGACGAGGTATAGGCAGGATTAAAATTGCTTATTAAAACTGAATGTGTGAGCTTGCCGGCTGCTTAACAGGTGGCTGTTAGCCAAAGCTAAGCCCTTGAAATGTTCAAACTCAATGGAATAGTTACCCTGGGGCAGAGGTGGTGGCAAGAAAACCAAAATGTCCATTTGAAAATAAATAAGGAGCTCAGGAGTCCCTGCCTAGGCCCAAGGGTTGTGCTTAGAAGAACTTGCTTCTTCTCAATAAACAGTGTTAAAGAATGAAGTTTTTACTCAAGGAGAAAATGGTTACAAAAGCGTTAATACTCATTTTAGAACGTAAAGATGGCACAGTATAGTTCGTGGCAAAACCTGAAAAAAATCCAAACATTTTCAGCAAGCCCTTTGCACTTTTTATATGGACTTCTAAGTAATTTACAACTTCTTTTCATACACTTGAAGCCTATCACAAACCTAAACAAGTTACAGTATATTCCAAAGAAAGCAGAAGTTAACCAGGAAAATTTCCCCGAAAAAGGAAGGAAAAAAATTACAGAAGTTCAGAGCTACTGCAAATAGGAAGCATCACTTACATGCATTAGGCTTAAATATTATTAATTGATCACTATTTATTAGTGATTAATGATTTTTAATCTGGAAAACCCACTCACCTACAGGTCTTTCTTTTAATTCAGTAGTTTTCGAAGAGAATTGTAATAATGGTTCTTCTCACTTCTGTAAAAGGCAAAGGCAGAAAGCATCCAGGAGAAACAGCAGGGTGACTTCAGCGAGAAATTTACTATGAAAGTCAGAGAGAAAAGAGAAGTAAAACAAAGTACTGTTGTGTGGTTCAAATGCAGAGTTTTTACAATGAGAGATTCTTGCTGGTTTTGAGACAACCATGAATCATCAAATTGATAAACTGTGCCTTATCGTGGAAGCATGCCTGGGTGGCAGTTTCCAAGAGATTTCCATCTCATTATATAACAATATCACATCAGCTAATTCCTGGAGCTTCACATCTCATTCAGTGAGAAGTATGGCGTGTCCTTACAGCCTTACATCACAATGCCTAGTTGGGCTGGGTCAGCCCTAGACCTGGTCCTCAGACCTTAAAGCCCCTCCCTGACTGCACCATCATCTTTCCCGGTGCCTGGTGTTGCCCCTTCCTCTGAAAGCTCTTGGCTGCCCTGCATTCTCTACTCACCCTAGTGAGTCTTGTCAGTTTTGAGGGGCCAAGTTCTTTCTGTCCTTCCTAATGTGCCAATTAGCTACTTTGAGAAAATCATCTACAGTAGAGTGCTCTTTGGGAAGCCCCTTCCTTCCATGTTGGCATGTGTTTTTTTTTTTTAAGAAGTTTATTTATTTTGAGAGAGACAGAGATAGCACAAGTGGGAGAGGAGCAGAGACAGGGAGAGAGAGAGAGAGAGAGAGAGAGAGAGGGAGGGAGAGAGAGAGAGAGAGAGAGAGAGAGAGAGAGAGAGAGAGAATCTCAAGCAGGCTCTGCCCTGTCAGTACAGAGACCGAGGCAGGGCTTGAACCCACAAAACTGTGGGAACATGACCTGAGCCGAAGTTGGATGCTTAACCGACTGAGCCACCCACGCGCCCCTGGCATGTGGTTTTTAATGGGCTTTGGGGAGACGGCTATGCAGGTGAAAATTTCAAGTCAGACTAGGGGGTGGGTTGGTGAATATATATATTGGCCCTCACTTCATACTCCATAGCCTCCCATTCTACCTATACTTAGGGCTGTTCCTATTCATGTGATGTAGCACAAGAAAGCAAGAAAGAACAGATGCTATTAATAATGCACCGAGAGAAACCACCAGGTGCACACCAAGGCACTGTCTACCTTATAGAGTCCCTGCTAGAAATGTACTGCATTTAACCATGGTTTGTTGTTAATCCATTAAATGCTTCCATTTCTTTTTAAACCTTATCACTGATTCTATCAGTCATTTACTAAGAATGGGGTATTACAGTGGAGAAAAGAGAACTATCAAAGAAATTAGAGCCACATTGAAAAGAAAAGATTCCCACATGTGGAACAAGCTGGAAAATAGCACACAGAGGGATAAACTACATGGTTACAGATAATAAAGGCAATACATGTATCAAGCTCTTGAGATTAGGACTTTCATAAGAGAGAAAAACCTGTGAGAGCCCTTTGCATTTCTAATGTTTTTCTTGACAAGTTGTGCTCTAGTTTATATACCTTCAAATCCTATTATGTTATGTCTCCCTGCCTAACAGGGATCCTTGGAACATTTTTTAGGGCCTCCTTTTGAGTTAGGGATATCATCCGGCCCCCTAGGTAAAGACGAGGCTGGGCAAGTCTGATTCATTTGTGAAATAGAACCTCTAATTTTTTTTAAAAAAAAACGGCCATCCCAATCTCATTTTAGGTGGACAGCAAGAAGTTGTTAGAGCTTTCACCTTTCTTTAATCTGCCCCTTTCTTCCTCACTTCCCTTCTGTCTTCTGTAATTGATAGTGGGCCAAAAAGAGGAGTGAGGTGGTGGTGGGGCTGGTGGAACTTTGGTAGGACCGGCAGCCTTAGGGCCAGGCAGTGCTGATGGAAAGAGGAAGGAGGAGAGTGGAACAGAGGGGCTTTCGGGAGAACCGGAAGTCTGCCTGCAAGGGCCATGCCTGTGTAAGGAGACAAGGCAGATTGCCTGTATAGGTGATATCACTTGTGGCAGAAGTCAAAAGCAACAATGGTAACTTGGGATATGGCTTAGGCTCTTTGAAAGAATGCCTCCTGTGTAATAATAGAAAAGAATCTATTTACCTCTAATGGCTTTTTTTTTTTTCTCTTTTCAACGTGCAGACTTCTTTTCCTGTGAATCCACCACTTGCAGCTAATCCTGCCATGGCTTTCAATCCTTACTTACCTCATCCTGGGATGGGCCTGCTTCCTGCTGAACTTGTACCGAATGCACCTGTTCTGATTTCTGGAAACCTGCCTCTCGCATTGCCAGGAGCTGCTGGTCCCAAACCGATGCGTTCAGATAAACTGGAGGTATTGGTGTAGAAATATATAAATACCTGTAGGGTAGTATCAACCCCACGCAGAAAGCGACATTCTCAGGGCCCAGCGTTTTGAATGCTTTCAATAAATACACCTGAGTTTTTAGCTTATGAAGTATAACCTCAGAAAAATGTTAAATGTCTTACTACTGCCATTGTAGCCTGTTATGCAACGCATTGATTCAGTTGTACACAGGTCAGACGGTGTCCTAGTGTGCCCAGACACGGACACTGCATCCCCTTTGCTATGGCACAAGAGGGCTGGTGGGAATGTTCCTTTAACCCAGGCTCCAGCTTTACAGACTGGGATCGCCGTATTGTTAATGAGTCTCTACTTGGTAGAATAATCCAACTGGAAAAAAAAAAGTAGATTAAGTCTCTATGAATGCAGAATATTAAGGGAGTATCATAGTATGCAAACCTTTTTCTCCATCTTAAGAATGATGGACTAGATAATGAATATCCCCGCTGCTTATGAAAAGGCAATCTAAAAGAAACTTCAAACAGCTTTTTTGATTTATGGAAGTCCTTCAGTCTTCCCTTGTCATTCTTCCTACATTGAAATAAATAACTAGTCCATTTCATACAAAGGCAACTCCACTGGCTGACTTAAATGCCTGGCATTTGTATCGTAATGGAATCTGACTGTACACGCAACTCAGTTGTGATCCACAATTTTGCTGGGAAAAACTGCATTGCTGTGTGACAAAGACTCATCTTGGACTTTAGCAAAATAACCCCCTCTTGAAAATTTGGCTAATTACACTTCAGGCTGTGAATTAAGCGGAAGATTAAAAAGTGGTTCTCAACAATACTTTTAAAGCAGACAACTTTCCTTTGGGCATAGTGGAATATTTTTTTTTTCTAGGAATAGAAACATCTATGTGGACATCTCACCGGGAATATGGCTTCACATTTTCCTTCAGCTTTTGTAGAATTTTCCTAGATAGATGACAAAATCACGTCTACTCTTGCTCTTACATTCACTGGCAAAATAAATAAAAGCTAATCAGCTTCCAGGCATCCATGTGATATGTGTTGTCACTGTCACTGTAATTTAAGGTTTGCCGAGAATTCCAGCGTGGAAACTGTACCCGTGGTGAGAACGATTGCCGCTACGCTCACCCTACAGATGTTTCCATGATCGAGGCAAGCGATAATACTGTGACCCTCTGCATGGATTACATCAAAGGGCGATGCTCCCGGGAGAAATGCAAGTACTTTCATCCTCCTGCTCACTTGCAAGCCAAACTCAGGGCAGCTCATCACCAGATGAACCATTCAGCTGCCGCCGTGATGGTAAGAACGGACCAGGGGTTGTAGGCTGTTTGGGGGGAAATGTTAGTACATTCCTCACATTGTCTAATATCCTTATAACCATAGTCTTTTTTTCTTTTTTTTTAATTTTTTTTTCAACGTTTGTTTATTTTTGGGACAGAGAGAGACAGAGCATGAACGGGGGAGGGTCAGAGAGAGAGGGAGACACAGAATCGGAAACAGGCTCCAGGCTCTGAGCCATCAGCCCAGAGCCTGACGCGGGGCTCGAACTCACGGACCGCGAGATCGTGACCTGGCTGAAGTTGGACGCTTAACCGACTGCGCCACCCAGGCGCCCCCTTATAACCATAGTCTTGAATAGTCATGAGTGGATCGTAGTATGAAGAGCCAAGGTTATAAGCTGGAAAAGAGAACACCTATTTATTCTGCTTCATTTGCTCAAATTTTCTAAAGATAATTGTTTCAAAGCCTCACTAATGATTTTAATCTACTGTGCTTTTTCTCCCATGTTTTGGAAAAGAGTAAATTCTATAACTTAAACACTAAATTATTTTTGAGTAGTTTTGATAGCCTAGCTAATCTTAATATCCCAAAAAGGCAGAAAGTTGTCTCTCTACCCTGTAAGCCACCTTCATGGACATTTTGTCAGTAAGGTAGCAGGTGGGAAAAATATATGCATAACTCTACAGTGTGATAGGTTGAGAAATAGAAATTATGATTAGTTAAGTTTGTCATAGCTGTCAATTACTTTGAAAATCTGCTTGTAGGGGCGCCTGGGTGGCTCAGTCAGTTAAGCGGCCGACTTTGGCTCAGGTCATGATCTCGCGGTCCATGAGTTCGAGCCCCGCCTCGGGCTCTGTGCTGACAGCTCAGAGCCTGGAGCCTGTTTCGGATTCTGTGTCTCCCTCTCTCTGACCCTCCCCTGTTCATGCTCTGTCTCTGTCTCAAAAATAAATAAACGTTAAAAACATTTAAAAAAAAAAAGAAAATCAGCTTGTAATTTTTTTCCTTTTTTTTAACGTGGGCCTTTCCTCATGTAATAGGGTATAATAATCTCAATAAGGGACAAAACCCTGAGGAAACCTCATGTTTCCTGGCCGTGGAGAAAAAAACCACCTACAGGATCCTGAAGCCCATGACAGGACCTTACCTTTTCATGAAAGAGATAGATTTACAGTAAAACCTTGGTTTGTGAGCATAATTTGTTCTGGGAACATGCTGATAATCCAAAGCACTCGTGTATCAAAGTGAATTTCAAGAACCATTGGCTCAGTTTGGATCATGTGACATTGGGCATCACGTACTAATCGTATTGCAAGACATCGCTCGTTTATCAAGTTAAAATGTATTAGAAATGTTTGCTCGTCTTGCGGAACACTCACAGAACAAGTCACTCGCAATGCAAGGTTTTACTGTATTTTCAAACATCCCTATTTGTTAAGGTTTTCCTTATTGAGTTGAAGTTGATCTTGGTGTAACTGGAACTTAAACTTATTTTATTACACAAAATAAATCAGTCCCTATTCCATATGAGTGGGACTCTCGTGTCTTTTTTTCTAAGGCAAATACTCCAGATTTCTCCAGACTTTTCTTGTAGATTCTGGACTTGCTTCACCTCCTCTGTTCTCTCAGAACTGAACCCATCACTTCATGAAAGTAGAAGAAACTTATTTTCTCCCTTGATCTGTAAAACAGTCTGTTAATGAATTTTAAAAAGACTTCACCAAATGGTTTTGGTCTTAAGTTCTTTTGAAGGAGAGGATTTTAAGCTATGAAAATAGCAAGGTATCCAGAGTGTTCACTGCAGATTTTAAACCTCCAGTTTTTTTTGATTACTTGTGTCAGTGGCATGGAGTTCAGAAGCAGTGTGGGTCTATGATACACAAGAGAAATACAGTTTCCCCTAAAAATAAAGGTTCTCATATGCATGGGATGTACCATTGTGTACCTGTTCCGTGCTCAGTCACGGGGCCTTCATATGTATGTGTCCATTTTTTATGATTTGAGTGTGTTTGGTAGGATGCATGTAAGCCAGTTCCAAATCTGTTGAGAATTAAATATTATCTAGTAGGCCTTCATTTGGTACTTGTGAATATCAATATAACATTCCTCTCTGAGTAGCTGCTCAGAGCAGAGTCTTAGTAGTGTGGTCAGATTGGCCCACAGGAATTGGTTTGAGGTAAGATCAAATAAAGGAGGCTTCCTGAAGAACTTTAGGCTTTCTATATTTTGAAGGATTCAGAGTTGAAATGTTTCGTAAAAGAAAGTTTTTTTTACCCTCTTCGTATTCATGTGCGTAGCTCAGGTTGACTTCACTGAAGCAGCATGTATACATTTTTTAAAAGCAAAAGACACGAAGAGTAAATATTTAGTTTCCAAAAAAAAAAAAAATAGAGATACCTTTAGACTTCTTTATCCACAGGAGAAAGAAGGTCATGGCATGCCCCCTTTTGGCATATGGAATGCTCATTACTCAACACAAGTGTTCCTGTCTCCTTAAGAATTTGGAGCATACCTAATTCTTGTTTCTGGGACATGTCTTTTAAGTCACATGCAATTTGCTGAGAAAAAAAAAATGTAGAAAGTCATGTCCAACTTCTCCAACGAATCTGATCCAGGAGCAAATTTGACCGAGTATCATGGGCACCGTGAGGTTTTGAAAGAAGTGTAGACATGAAAGGAGAGTTTTAAATTCTAATACATTTTAGAATTAAACCTTACAAGGACTTAACGAAGCTGGTGGTACATCCCGAAATGCACAGTGAGCATCTATAAATGAAAATCGCACATATTTTACTATGTTATCTGGGTGAGGTGCGTCATGAAGAAGAAAATTATTTACTTTTCCCTTACATACTAGTTGGAAGAAGCACAGTTCTAGAATTTGCACTGGAAGTCCTTATATAGATTGGATTTTGTTTTATGGAGCTACAAGATCAAACTCTGACCTCCTGACATCTGTTTGATCACCTGTATACCATTTATCTCCTAGATCCACGTTGGAATTTTAACTGGCAAAAATCTCTTCCCTGCTATATCTGTTGCTTCTGCCCATCTCATTGTAATAGATTAATGGATGGACATCCCGGAGATGTTAATTTTAAATGAGTATTTGCTGTTCACAGCTTTGGGTCACATCGTGCTCAAATGATGAGGTCCTTTGTTATTTGCTTAAATGAGTGAAGTTGAAAACCAGTATGTTTTTTCCTTGTCTGTTTATTTTCTGTGTTAGGCTAAGTACTTATCTAGTCAATTGCTCAACAGATACCCTTGCAAAGGGTTCCCGGGCCATACCTTTATCTAACTGCTGCTTTGCTCGCCTTGAGGACATTTTGTTACTTTCTTTGATGCTATTTATTATTCCATCTCTCCCTCGCAGGCCCTTCAGCCTGGTGCACTTCAACTGATACCAAAGAGATCGGCGCTTGAAAAGACCAATGGTGCGACTCCGTTCTTTAACCCCAGTGTTTTCCACTGCCAGCAGGCTCTGGCTGGCCTGCAGCTCCAGCCACCAGCATATATCCCTGCAGGTGAGAACGGGGACTCCGGGCTGCGCAGGTTTCGCGATGGTGTGAATGTATAGAGTGCGCACCAGCTGCCAGAGTTTTGATTCAAGGACCGTCGACAGGTGTTTTGTCCGGAAATCAGACAAGGCAGTTATACTTGATCTGCTAGTCTAGAGAACCCCAGTTTTGCTATGATTCCTGCAAATGAATGGGTTGAAATCAAACTAGGCAAAATGGTCAACATTTTTCTTTTTGGCATGTCTTAGTGTTTGCTTCTTAAGATTGATTCACTTGGTTCAGTCTCAAACTAATTCCTTGACTCTTAGGTATCCCTTTGAAAGACAGTGGTCACCCCTCAAAAAAAATGTTTCACAGTTTCAGCGTTGCAATAATATATAGTCTATATATCTTTGATATGCCAAAGATAGTTATAATAAAACTACCCTGGAACTTACAGTGTCGTTATAAGACAGTATACAGTCATATACATATATATGTAAATATATATATATGTAAATATGTGTGTGTATATATATATACACACTGTCCTATAACTGTACCATATACTATCTTATAATGACACTGTAGGTATAGTTGTATATACATATATATATATGTACATACATATATATATATGTATAAAACACATAGTTTTAGCCTTTAACTCTTATAGCAGTTAATATAAAAAAATATAGCAGCTTATCATATTTTCCTGATACAATGCAGGATATTTGGTTACCTTCTACATTCAACTGTATCTAATAGCATAACAGTTTTATACCAAATTGAATAGAAAATTTTGTTCAAATAAATATCATATGTGAGGAGAAATACCTTTCTTCCTATGGTTCAGTACTTTAAGAGTGAGCATATAATCTCTTAGGGATAAATGGAAAATCCTAATCACTGAGAGTAGAGTAGTTTTTTGGGTTTTACCAGAATCATAAATGCCCCAGTTTGGCAACTATTATGAAGTGATACTGACATGCTTTAAAGTTATTTTAGAAAACTTTATTAATTATGTAAACATACTAAGCACATGGTATTATACACCTGCCCTTGAAACAACCTGTTGGTTAACTGATAAATTAATCAGCTAATTTGTTTGGAAAGAAGACCTAAAAAAAGTCTTTATTTACTAACCACAGTAGTTCTTTATGATATTACTTTAAAAACACAGTTTTTAGACTTTTTTGCTGGATTTGGCTAATTTAAAGTCTGGTTTCCTGAGCACAATGTCAGAAGACTCCCTTTCCCCTTAATCAAAAACAAAACTAAAACCTGTTGGGCTGAGCGCCCCCTGTTGATGGAAAGCCTGTTTGCTGTATGTTCATAGTCCAGTCCAGGGTTGTGAGAAAGAAGAGGCTGTGGTAAGATGTGCCCAAACTAAATATGTAATTGAAGTGAGGTAATTCCTTTAAAGAAAACTTAATGTTCGCTCTTATACCTAAGAATCCAAGAATTACTTTGATTACCTGGGTTGGTGATCTTAAAACTGAGCTATAATTATAAGCATGGGAAATTACTGGATTTGCATGTGCTCATTAATTAATATTGCAAAGAATATCTTTCGGGTTAAAAATTATTTCTCTCAGTAAAGATGTAATAATGAAATCTCTCTCCTTTACTTTTCACGCTTTTCTGCATGGTGTACAGGGCCCATACTGTGCATGGCACCCGCTTCAAGTGTTGGTAGGTTTTGTACAAACATTCTCAACTTTTTCTAATCTGAAAAAAAAAACGTGCTTTTCTGTCATGACTGTGAAAGAGATGAGTGACTGAGTGATGTGGCTCCTGGGCCACTGGCTTGGGGGGAAGGGCAGGTGGAGTTGGGGCACAAAGAAGAGAGAAAACAGACAAGGTAAAGCAGGTTGAAAATGTTGTTGGAGTCTACCTTTGCCATCAGGAAAGCTGAGCATACTTATGACAAACGTTTCAAGAAGCTACTTCTGTCTCCGTTTCCGCCACTGTGGCTACCAGACCTTCCCCTCTCCTACTGTTCTGATGCACCTCTGTTGTGATTGTAACAGTTTATATGTACCCATTATATCTCAGAAAAGCAGTTGCGTTGCTGAGCATAGGCAGGCTAGGGCACCTCGTCCTGACTAAGAAGAAAATAAGACAGTTCTGCACTTTTGTATTTTAAAGCTGATGTCCTAGCTGCATTTTGACATTTTCTGAGGATTTAAGACGTAATAGGGTGCTGTTTCATATCTTTGTGGAATCTCAACACTGCTACGCTCTGGGGTCCTAGTTGGTTGCCACTGTGGCCAAATACTAACCCTGCCATGTGTCTGTTTGCGTCCTACAAATTGCAGCTGAAATATTTTGAAACATTTCCTTATCTAGCCAGAGTGGACACTTTTGTTCTTAGCTTTACATCTGTGACTAAGACATTTTAAACGATTTCAAATGTATAATTTGTAAAGTATCACAAAATAATCCTTCCCTCCCCCCCCAAAAAAAAGTTATTCATGAGATCTAAATCATTCAATACTCAAATGTTGAGAAAGGATGAGTTAAGCAGAGTGAGAGCATTCTGTAGTGTTCTAGAATGAAGTGCCATGTGCATGGAAACCAGGCCCAACAGAACCCTTTCAAAATGATTCTTTGGGATTATGTAATTTTTAACAGTCAGTCACATGCAGATCCTTTAATTAGTCACCAACACAATCTGGTGTCCCTCTTAAGACCATTTTTAGGGACACCTGGGTGTCGGTTAAGTGTCTGACTCAGTCGGTTAAGTGTCTGACTCTTGATTTTGGCTCAGGTCATGATCTCATGGTTCACGAGATGGAGCCCCGCATTGGGCTCTGCACTGACAGCACAGGGCCTGCATGGGATTCTCTCTCCCCCTCTTTCTCTGCCCTTTCCCTGCTCGTGCATCCGCAGGTGCACACACACTCTCACACACGCACATGATAAAAATCAATAAAAGCCCATTTTTACATCGCCCCTACTGCAGAAGATAAGAAAGTGACTTGTTTCTGGTACAGGAGTTCCCAGCTCCTATAGTCCATGGGAACCAGGCACGGACCAGCAGAAAATAGCTCTGTGTGCTACAGGGAGGAATTATCCCACCCTACCCCCCTCCCCCACCATCTCATATCAACCCAGTGCTTTTCATCCTATTTGAGAGCTTGCCACGGCTTAACCTTCATCCTGTTGGTTGCCCAGAGTAGATGCAGAACCCAAAAGGGACTAGTGTTACTGAGGGATTGGCTGTCCCCTGAAGGAAATGGAAACATTTCCACTGATACTGATGGAAGCATCGTACACATGTGGTTAGAACAGACATCTGCAAGTTGGGAAAACGTGTCTGTGTCTTCACATTTTGTGACTCCGTACCCCTGTCTTTGCACCTAAGAGCTCTGTGTAGGAATGCAAACTGCGTGTTTCAGTGGCACTGCATCCTGTATCGTTGCTGTGCTCCTAAAGGGAAAACAAGAGTGTTTGTAGAATCGGCATGTGATACAGTAAGGGGTGTCTATAGGTAACAGGTAACTGGAGATGCACATAAGGGCCAAGTACAGGATTTCTGTTGATCACCATTTGGGGTACATCTGTGGTTTCTGTGACATGGTGTATATTGATCTTCCTCTCTCCGTGCCATTCACTTGCTCTGTAGACTTTCAGAAAATCTGAATTCAATGGATGTAGACATAAATTACTATATATGCACGCTCACCATTCACACGTTAATTCCTTCGTTTGCTTTCCAAAATGAGCTAGGAATGAGAAAAGCACCTAAAAAGCTTTCAAAATGGGCTAGAGACTAGAAAAGGCAAAAAGAAACCATCCTGAGAGAGATGTTACAGCTGCTAGCCATACAGTCATGGCTGTAATAAGTGGGATGAAGACCAGATTTTGCCATATATTTACCATGAAGCACCCTGTGTGTTTGTTTGATAAATAGCCTAGATTTCCAAGGGCTTTGCCAAAGCTGTACTTAAAAATCTGTGTGCATAGTCCACCGTATTCTTCATATCTGCTCCCCTACCATACACAGGCCCACCAATCGAACTGCCTTGTTGTTGTTGTTGTTGTTGTTGTTGCATGTAGATCAGGTAAGTACATCTATAGTTGTGTCTTTGCACCTGCAAATGTAGTGACGATACTCAGGTCTGTAAGTTAGTGAACCCAAACACCAATCCACACTTCCCTACTCACACTCAAATGTGCAAACCAGCCTCTTGTCTGCTTCACTAGGTATTCCTATAGATAGCCTTGGTAAAATCAGATTCTGTCACATGCACTCCTTGTAACCCTTTCTGAAAATGTGACCTTTTAAGTCAACTAGAATGTGATTCTGCTAAAGAAAAAACAAAAACAAAAAACGAAAAAACAAAAAAAAACTAACTGGTTGAGAATGATTCCATTTTCCTTAATGGTAACTATAATTGGCTTTCCCCTTTTCTCTTTTTAAATTTTTCCCCCTTCCACGCTGTGTTGCTTTGCACTGACTGTGATTGCATGTTGCACCCTGGTGTATCCATCGTGATGATGTCACATGGCTTGTTGCTGTGATACCTACCACGCCCCATTCCATCGTGTATGTCATGGCTGCATAAATCCTCCACCCTTCCGTGTGTTGCTTCCATGGTTTCCTACTGAAAGTGCCCATGATGCACGGTGCAACACCTACCACTGTGTCTGCAGCAACACCACCTGCCGCCAGCGTTCCGTTCGCTGCAACAGCCGCAGGCAATCAGGTTTGGCCATTTATTTTACCTGTTCAGATAACTACAGTGTGTTGGTAAGGCGCAGTATATGCTTTTTGGATTGGCGAGAGATGATCCAGATTCCTATGTGTCTGTTGAGCCGTTGTGACATTTAGAATTTTTCTCGTTGCGTATATTCTAGCAGGACGAATCTGCCACACAACCTCAGATGAATCCAGTTTTCTCATGTTCGGTCAGGTACCAGAGGTTGCCCTTCATATGCCGTATCCACGATTGTTGCTGTCACACCAATCCTCAAATCCATATACTGAGGGTTCCTTAAATGCTTCCTCATGGGTCAAGAGAAGAATGTATTTTCTTTTACTGCCATCTTTCTGGTCATTGCGCTTCAACTTTCATTTAGTACAGTCATCACCTTTACCTTCAGATCTGCTGGAGAGAAAGCGAGGTAACACATTTCTCTCCAGGGCACAGAGATCCTTATCATTACCCAGTGATGACATCAGAGATGTCATACTGACACTCAGTGACACACAGTGATGACATCAGAGATCTCACACTGACATTAGATGTGCTTGTGTTGTGGTTTTCATTCGCTTTAGGTACTTACAGGCAGAGTCACAAGACAAATTCTAAACTGTGGGAGAGTCTTGAGACTGTAATGAGATACGTAGAATAACTGTCGTGTAATGTTATGGCTGTTTTGCCTTATGAAGGTGGTAACCATGCTTCAAGACTGCACATTCCACAGCTGCTTCCATTTACAAGTACGATAACCACACGGCACATAGAGCATTAACCCATTGGGGAAACAAACCACATTCAGACCTGTGCTCTGGAAAATTAACTATTAGCGGATATGGTGAATATGTCTAAATTTTTCTGTGAAATTGATTCTGCTTATTAATTACCATGCCCCAACAGTGAACAAAATAAATGGAATTCTCTCGAGAAACTATTTTAATCTAAAATCTTTTTTACTACTATAGATACCCCCATTATCAATAGATGAACTGAATAGCAGCATGTTTGTTTCACAGATGTAGAAGTTACCAGTAGAACAGTAAGTTGCTTTAAGTACTAATATGAATAATATGTATAGGTTGTATCTTTTATTTACACAATTGCATTTCTAAGGGCTTTGGTAAATATTTTCATTGATAGATATTGCTTATAACTTAGAGCTTTATTTAAGCATTCTCAACTGTCCAAATTGAAATGTGGAGAGCAAATAATGCAGTTTTTTTTCCATGAAAAATGACAGCCGGTACTGTATTTTCCCAATGTTTTCCTGTTATTAAAGGAGTATGATTTGTCAGCCCAAGGCACAGATCACTTTTGAATTTTAATCCTTTAACACTTTTCTAGCTTCATTTTTTTTTGTTAGTGCTGAAGTAAAGCAAAGCAATTTTGTCACAGTTTGACTAAGATGAATATCTTAAAGCCAGTAAGCAGTATGCTTCTCCCATGATGTTGTAGAAGATAGTGCTTTTAAAGTCTGCCATTATGTGTTGCTTTCCATGTAAGTCTATCAGAATTGCTTCAGCTGTTTTGAATTTGAGTGACACAATTTAGTAATGTAATCATTATTTTCATTCAAATCATGGCTTTAAAGAAATGTGTTGTTGTTGGATTCCCCTTCCCCCCCCCCCACACCTTTGATCTCCTCTTTGCCTGGTCCAGAGCAGCCCTAGCACATACTTAATTTGAGCAGTCATTGACTTGGAAAATGTGACTTTTCAAGCCACTTAAGACTCCTAGGTATCTTAATTAATTAATAATAGGGACTTATTCAACAAGTGTACCACTTCTGAATGGCATGTTAGTCATTGAAAATTTGAGGTTCTCAGAACTGGCTCCAAACACTCACTCCGTCCTGGGCAGAGCCTACAGCTGACTGCACATTAGATAAACAAGTCCCTTCAACCCTAAGGAGTGTTTTAAAAAGACACCTTCGAGGGCATGGAATAACTGAGGTAGCTGTACCTTGTAATTGTGTTCAGGGGTACCATTTGGGATGGTGGCAACTTGGGAATAGCACCAAACATGAGAATATAGGTTTTGCACACACTTGCCTGATTCTCATGGGCTGCTTTCTTTACAGCAAGGTAAACAAAAGTGGTCAAATATAATTAGCTTTCCAACAGTACATGTTTGAGAATCGTGATTCCTTTCTGCCAGATTGCATTAGAAAACTTAGAGGTATTTGGCAGACTGTAATCACTTCAATGTGTAACAGATGTTGAAAATTTCCCCAAAGTTCAAAACTGTAATTTTGTAAAATACTATATACCTCGATTTCACACCTTGGCTATTTCCACATGGCTCCAAAACGTTCAGATTAAAAAGTTTAAAGTGTGGTTAATATTTGCTTGTTGAAGAAAGTAGAGAGACGGGTGGATGTTCATCAAAACGTTTAAGCGTTGTGCGGATAATGCCTTAACTTAGGGCAATTCTGTACATTAGCGCTCAGTGACAACCATAAACTGTCATGGTATATGACTCTTGGCGACCATTTCTGACAGCCCCATTTCCACAGATGTAGAACATGAAACTCAGGGTGGGTAATATATTGGCAGTTCACGTACAGAACTGGCAGAAGAGACAAGTATCCCGACTCCTGCTTCAATAACCCCTTAATGTTTCTCACTCTTTCTTTCTTCTTCTATTTCAGTCGAAATTCTGAACAACAGAGCTATGGAGTATCAGGATCTCTCCGTGAGAACCTCCATATGGCCTTTCTATATATATTCTCATAGGTCTTCTACCAACACAAGAATAAGTGTGGTACAGTCAATATATTAAACAAAACCCACTTACCAACCAACAAAGTCAAACAAAAATACAACATTAACCAATCAGTGCAGATGTTAAAACATGAATAGAAAACTACCATTTATCTTATCTGAATTATTAGGTAGAACATGACCGTAACATTTTGTCATTTGTTGCATTATTCTTTGTGATTTTCCAATAACAAATATGCTGAGTGAATCTCTACAGTGGACTGTTGGCTTACTGTGCATTCTTGGTGGATAAATGTTCATCTGTTTTGAAGTGTTACCTTACTGTTTTGTTTACACAGTAGTCTATTGGGTTGATTTAGAATGTAGCAAATGTATCCAATACCGTTTTTCCCACTATTGTATTGTATTGTATTGTATTGTATTGTATTGTATTGTGGTGTGATGTGATGTGTTAGGTTTTTACATACTATAGTGTTTTCCTCTAGATGTGTGGTGTTTGATTTCAACTAAAATATTACTAATGGGAAGCAGAAATATCTGTGTTTAAAACCATTACAGATTAATATTAATATGCTTTCTCTCTCTTTAGAACATGTCTGTAGGTTTCTTGGGGCAGACTTTTAAAAGGCCTCACTTTTGAGTGTGCGCAAAGCCTGTTCATAAGCATGCATGTGTATAATTTGTACCTGCAGATCTGACCTTGCATAATACAATCACGTGAGTAGGTATTTTTTTGTGAGAGAGAAATAATTACCTGCAAAAAAACCCAGGAAACTTCTTGAAATATGAACCTCTAATCTCACTCCTTAAGAAGCTTGCAAAATTACAATTTACCTGTAAGTGAATTTCTCTGCATTTATCCTAAAAGAATTATGTAAGGTGCCCGTTTCATTTTTTGTGGTTCAAGGATCCTATCTCCTAGGTTGAGCATCTAAAGCTGAGCCATTTGTCAAATTCAGCTGAAAATTGTTACTTGGAGGCTTAAAGGTATGCTAATTGTAGGTTATAAATTAAACAGAGAGATGGAGGGGTAGAGATAGTTTTTACATTTTGGAGGAAAGTGTGTAAAAAAACCATTGCAATGTAACCTTTTACACAAGTGCCATTCTCTGAATACAAATGGCTCGTGCTCTTTAGACTTGTCTTTGAATAATAAGTAAGCTCCAATCTTGCAAAAGTCAGGGTGAAGGAGATTTGATTCGAAGGGAGGCCCTTGTCCCCCAGATGGACAGTCTTCCAACTGATCACAGTTGGAGAAATGGTGGGGTGGTGAGGCGGGGTAGGAAGGCATTTTAAATTATTCTCTGATTTACTTAAAACTTATAGGAGGGCTGTCCACGATTGTCTTTAGCCTCCATTCGACTGAATCTCCACTTCTGCTGACCCCTTCAGTGAAGGAGCAGGTGCCTATGCCAAGTGCTGCCCTTCCCAGACTTGATTGACAAGAGTCTCTCCTATCATAACCCAGCCATTTGTTTGTTTCTTTATTTAGGTCTGTTGGTTTTATATGTATTTGAAAATTATAATAGAGAGGTTTTTAGCACCCTTTGGATGAAACAGACCAGCTATACCCCATAGAGCTGAGCTGAATTCACATTACTAATACTTATGAAAATAATTTATAACCAAGTAAAATAGTGATTCCTATGGCATGTGACGTAGCTCCTCCAGGTACTCAGCGATTAAAGTTACTATTCTTACACCGTGCTGGAACCGTAGGATATAATATTTGCTACTAAATATTTATTCTTTCACTAGAAAGCATGCAATCATCAAATTTAACATGTAAACCACGTTTATTTTCCTGCATGAAAATGGCAGGCAAAGAGAAAATTCCCACTTAGGATACCTTAAGCTGGCTAGCAGCATTTGAATCACAGAACGAAGGAGTTGGCAAACCCTTCTCACAATCGATGAAACCGAGGCCTAGGGCATGTGACCTGCTCAAGGCTACCTACCTACCTGATCGGTGACAGTAAGACCCTGAACAACTCTCCTGACTTTCTGTTGTTCCTCTGTTTCACATTGTTTGTGCTTCGGAACATTTGAGACCCCATCCCGAAGCAGATCAATATAGCTCAGGATACAAAAGAGCAAAAAATAGCTGTTTGGTATGTGATAGCCTGTTGTTCTTAATTCGCAATCCCAGATCCTGATCATCAGTAATTTCAAGATATTGTCATCTGTTAACAGTATTGCCTGGGGTTACAGAATAAGAGGTGTCCTGACTTTTACCTGTTGATTCCTTGAACCACTTAATTTCTGTTTCTCGAAATCTTAACATTCTTAGAGAAGAAAGTAGTGTACGCCTTTGTGAAATGACTTGTGTGTAGAGCTGAGTTTTGTGTAACTGTGCCAGTCCCTTTCCGGAAGGGCAGAGCTAATCCCACAAATCGGGGAAGGATACACCTGAGCCAGACTGGTTGTATTCCTTAAAGGGGTTAGAGATGTTTTCAGTGCAGAACGAACTCTTTTTGTGTCATTCGACGTTTCGCGAAAGCATGCTGTCTCATTTCACCTTTGAAACTCCTGGCGAAGATGCACATAGACAAGAAACCTAGAGAACAGCAGTGTTTCTGATGCTGTGAGCACTGGAAGACATCAGTAGTGACTTATTTTTTAGTAAGAGGGTCCGTGAAGGATATTCAGGGTAGTTGTAGATTTGGTGCCATAATATTTGATAATGGCTGGCATTTTACAAGTTGTTTTGTAAATGAATTTAAAGAAAGAAAACTCAAAGCACTAAAGTTTTGATCAGATGTGAAAGAACTTTGACAAAAAGGCAATTTTAAGATAGCACTCTTTAAACTAGTTGTGCAATGTCTTATTCAAATTATGTTTATTCAAGAAAAGAAGAAAGGAAAGTCATTAGACTATAAATTCGCAGTTCAAAAGCCAAGTCACAAGACTAATCAGTGACTCTAAACAACAATTTACTGGATGAATTGTATATATTAAATTCCAACCACTTGTGATTCTTAGTTAACATTTTATAAGCTTTGTATATGACAAGGGCTTCTATTCTTATTTATCCAAAATTATTGTCTTTGTCCACTTCTCTCACTCAGCCTTTTGCAAAATTAGGCCAGAGTACTGAAACTTGGATAAAACAGGTCAGGTATACAGAGAAAATCATCTAGAAGTTATCTGTTAAGAGGGTTTTAGTAGTATCCAAAATTTTTTTTTCAAAAGGCACTATGTGACCATAAGTATATTTTAAAGAGGGATAAAGATTAAATTAAAACCAAATGGATTCATAAAATTGCTACTTAAATACAGTATTTACTTTGACAATTGGAGCATGATTCTCTAACCAGCTGTTGCGTTTCATCTCATTTGTCTAGACTAGAGTCTAATTTGTAGGTCGTTGTCATGTGAAAAGCCATCTTCTCCCTCCTCCATCCACCTTCGCCATCCGTTTTTTGAACATGTGAAAGCACTTTGATCTTGCCGTTAAGTGTTGTCCTCTTTTTGTCTCTTCTCCATTTCTACACACGTTGAAATAGAAGTAGGGAAATCTGATTCCCCAATTCTGTTGAATAGATGTAGGAAGATAGTGGCCTGATTTTTCATTGTACCAGTCAGTGCCTGTCAAAGGCACCGGAATGAATAGTATCGAAAAGAGTGTCACAACTTTTTTTGCAAACTTAGTTGATTGCATCATCAAACTGTCGATTTAATTACAAGATCTGGGTTCTGAGCACCAAGTCACCGATTGGTGCCATGTTTTCATTTTTCTTTTTTAGTTTTTAAGGTTTTCATTTTACTACGTTTTTTGTATCTAAGTAACTCATGAACTTAATTTTGAAGGAGAGTTAGAGAAAGTTGGATTTTACTACATGTATTCAACCCACCTAGATAGGTTTGACACTGATACTGAAGCATGACAACATAGAGATTATAGTCCATAGTTATTCTTTACAGCTCACAGTTTAAGAACAAACTTAACTTTATATACAAATAATAATTTTTAACTAATTATATTTAGTCGTTGCTTGAGCAACAAAACTACAACATGGCTACCTTTAGACACATTTTTTTGATAATAATTTTACTTGTGAACTATACATGGTTTTTGACAGTATGAGCCTGTAGAAGGTACAGCTCAAAACTCAGAGAACAGATCTAGCGGAATTTTCCTTGAAGCCCAAATTGCCACGCAAACGCTGAATGTGTGTCCTTGTATGACTTTTGGATCAAAAAGTTTACAACACATGGATTCTAGAGTCAGCTTTATAGCTTATAGAATTTGTTGTGTGGATAGGGTTATTCCACAGTGTTTAGACTCCAAAACACAATTATTGCATTTATAATCTGTTACCTGACCTTTTTTCATGACATTGTGTTTTCCAAATTACCCCGTGCAGGAGGCGTAGCTGTCACGGCAAAAATTCTCTTTTCTGGAATTGTGTACTCACACAAATATATCCAAGTGAGGATTGAAGAATGATGAAAGCCTATTTTGAAATCAATTCCAATTTGTAAAACCACGCATAAAGATACTGTGGAATGACCCCTTAACAGTGTTTGAGAGGCATATGCTGCAGCCAACTGATGGTCTCAGTTAGGGTGCGACTGTGTGAGAAACACCTTTTTTGCACTTATGTACATAGTCCATGAACACTATGCTTGGAGTTTTTGTTTTTTTAATATAAGAAATCTGTGATAATAGTGGAAAAGTTAGTAAGATAGAGAGAGGTATTTCTAAGGCCTTGAGGAAGAGGGGGATTTTGCTTAAGAAGACGTAACTAAAGCCTGATGTTGCTTTGCTGTTGCGGAAGCTTTCTGGTTTGCTACAGGTAGGTCACCAAAAGAAAAGACTGGTAACGGGTAACAGGTCAACTTCAGCTAATAGCACTGACTGAAAGTGACAGTACTTCTTCTTTTACCAAGCAGGACCAGTAGCACAGATTGTTTGCTTTTTAAATTTACTCTCCATTGTAAACACGCACACACACACACACACACACACACACACGCACCAGGCAGGGTTCTGGCAAAGGTTTTCTTTTTTCAATGGTTGCAAGCAGTAAAACACCCTGTAAGTTACAAGATGGAGAGTTCCATTCTGATCAACAGAGATGTCATCTTTGATAGGAAACTCCATATTGAGAGGTATCAGTTACATCAATTAATACCCATTTCAGTGACAATCAAATTGTTAACATTCACCACTATTTCCCCCTTTAAAATCCTTATCCTAAAACCAAATCGGCAACCATTGAAAGACTTAATTTAACAATCAAGTGTGGCCAGCTTGGGGCATTTCGTTCCCTCTAACAACAACAACAAAATACCCCTGGCACAGCTGTTCAGTGGAAGCTGTTTTCTGACTTCCCTTTACCAGATTAGAAAGTGCTTCACTGTGCTGCTACAGCCTCCCACTGCTTGACCTAACAGAAGAGAACCAGTCCCAATCTTACATATGGAGCTGGAAAAGAATGTTTTAACCAGACCGCCCCTGACAATTGGAGCTCCCCTATCACGTACCAGTCACCATTTCACTTTTTGTCGTCTCCAGGCAATGAGGTTAGATGGATGACCATTGGTACTTGGAGTCTTTCACGTCTTGGGGTGTGTCACCCTCGCCTTGGAGAAGTTACTCACCCTGGGATTAAGGGAGTTGGTATTAGTATCACTTACCCATGTTGATGGTCCTCATTTACAGACAGGAAGATACGCCAAAGCCAGCAAGCAACCAAGCCTTAACGGTTGTCCAATAGCTCAGGGCCAGTTGGTTGGCAATTTCTCTTTTTCTCCCTTCAGCCCTTAATCATTTAGAGTCAGCTGTACAACTAACAGCCCAACCGTCTGACCAGCATTTCCACTGGTATAAAATGTAAGCATTCATGCCTTCTGTAGTTAGGGACTCCCAACTCCAACCTCATCGCCAACATACTTTCCCAACTTACCCTGTGTTCTTGTGTTGACACTTCCTTGTGCATCTGTACGCCACGAGAATACATTGTCATGAGGTCAATAGACATGTAAGATTTTAAGTGAGGAATCATCTATAAAACAGTAAGAATGAACCTAGAAGCGTCACAAAAGATAACCGATTAATTGATGGCATGTTGTGCACACTGACAGCCGTTGGGTCACGCTCTTTGGAGCTCAGACACAGTGGCTCTATCTCAGTAAGTCAAATTAGAGAATGAAGTATAAAAAAATGTGAATGACTCGAGGCCAAAAAGGGACGACCTTTGTAATTAAACCCGGGAAAGGGTTCAGTTAGACTAGTTCATACAGTTTCCAGAGCCTCCACCTGGCCTGGAAAGAACCATCCATTACTACTCCAAAGCAGGATTATTCCAGGAAATTTGATCTTTAAATAGAACCCATCCTCAATTATAGCATACCCGAAAGGAAAAAATATATCACTATAAAATAAGCCACAACTATTTGAAAGTATTGCAAAAATTCTCACCTTCTACATTGTACACCTTCTACATTGTATTACTTTAATTAAAAAAAAAATACCTCTGTAACAAGACCTAAAAGTAACCCAACTTTAAGCCATGCTCTTTTCTCCCAAACACACAACGTAAAGATTTATCTGTCATAGAACTGCATGGTTGCAAAGCTTTATGTCTGTATACAGATGCTATTTGTTCATGATGGAAACCAAATTATTCTGTTGCTGTGTCTTTTGTGTCTAGCAGTTGAGAGAATGATCTGGCCATCATACCCTTGGGTTCTGGGGTTGCCCTTTTCAAAATAAATTTCCTTTTATTATTACTGTTAGTGCTTGATTATTTGCAAATGAGCCATTCATTTGTTATCACGGCCCCAAGTTACAATCTTTTAAATGTAAAGATTTTCCTAAATGTACTCTTTTTAAAAGAGCTTTCTGTAATGTTTGTATAACAACGTTCCAGTATGATGTAGAAAATGGAAGCACACATTTGGGGCAGAAGAATGCCCATTTTGAGATACCCGTGGAGAAGAAAATTATTAGCCACGTGCAACAATTAACAATTTAAATAATGACCACAATAGTTCAGAAATGTAAACTGTTCGCATCATATTTTGCCTCCAAAATGCAATAGTTCATTCCCTCAACTGCTATCAATAGGTTAGATGCTTTGACTTTTTTTCTGTTTTCCCCCCCAAATTATAGTGCTCTACTGCTTGTTTGTGTTTAGAAGTGTGCATTATGCAGTCATTTTAGTATGCTACTTCTGCATTGTTTATTTTTGGTTTTTAATAAAATGTGTAAATGTCTTGGTTATGTCTTTTTTTTATGAATCCATATTCACACATTAGGAGTTTACTTAAAAGCGACTCCTGTTCTAGTATATCAACCCTAATATTTAGTAATTCTAATACAAAATTTAAATTTATGATTTGGTTCAAAGATCTATTTCATGCATAGAAGAAATTTATTTCCAGATATGCCTTCAGTATTATGAATTATATAGATAATACATTCATTGTATTAGACATATTATTTCTTTGATAGTGAAGTTACTAACACCGGAAAGGCACATTTGTATTTTAGTAAAAGAAAACTAAACATTTTGAGATAATGCTTACTGGCTTCTATTGTGCTTCAGAAATCCTGAGGCATTTTATAAGATACGTTATTAGAAGTTTGTATTTTCTGGTTATTCATCTCTATCTTGCATCTTCAGTGGAACATAGGAAACCAGTGTTGTTCATTTCATTTTTTTCAAGATGGGCATCAATGGTTTCATAACAATGAGATGCATGAATTTTTCCATCAAAATGTTTTCTCTCACTTAAAATTGGTTTTCTCCAACAAATGGCACTGGAATGAACACATAATGATTTTTCTTCTTTAAGAAAGCAAAATGTAACTTGATAATATTTTATTCTGACAGATTTCTAAATACTTAAAAAACGCTAGTTGGGAATTTCTCTGGATTGGCCACTGTTTGGTAGTCGGGCTGGTAGAAAGGTGAAGAGGCTTTGGCTGAGATGAGAGGCTGTGACAGATTAAAGTATTCTTCACGTGTCTGTAACTGTGCAAAGAGCCAGGGAGGAAATCCAGTGTCGGCCGAATCATACAGAGCTAAGAGCTCCTTTGTCCCTTGTGCCCTGCTTTACTCTTTCTGCTGCGTGTGCCTCCCACTATGGCACTTCTCGGTAAGCCGACTTTGAGCCCGTGGGCGTGTGGTACATGTTTCTGTGAGTCTGTGGTATTCCCAGTATGAATACCAGTTCACTTGGACATTTACAAAAGGTCTTTGGCCCCTTCAGAATCCAGTTTATGTTTTCCTCTTCGAAGCTGCTGAATGATAGATAAGCATTCAGGGCAGGCATCCCCAACCACAATCAAAATGGAGTTTCTCTTGGCCAGAGGGAAGTTGACCCACAGGCAAAACCGGATATGGATGTAAAGGTTAGCGTGATGCTTTTCAACCTCTTTGTTCAGCTTTCTTCTAAGAGTCTCTCTGTGGTGGCTTCTGGCTCCCTAGAAGCCCCAGGTAGCAACTTGTCGGGCCTGCTAACCCGGACAAATCTGGGCTTTTTTCCTTCGGAACTTCCCTGCTGGGCACCTCAGGCTATGGAGAGTGGCTCCGAGCTGAGATCTAAGAGACCACTCAGGCTATGGTTTTAGACTGGCAGTGTTTGTGTGCTGCCCCCTGGGAGTGTTTGTATTTTAAAAGGCATGACTCCAGGCATCTGGCTGGCTCAGTCAGTAGAGCCGTGCGATTCTTGATCTCAAGTCGTAAGTTTGAGGCCCACGTTGGGTGTAGAGTTTACTTAAAAAATAAAAAGGCATGACTCTCCAGTGGTCAAATAGCAGACAGCCACTTGCCTAGACAGGGATACATGTTTTTACTGAAACAAACAGCATTTGGGCAGCGATCAAATTCCTATGGACAAGTGGTACCATCATTTACGACCTCAAGAAGGCCAAAAAAGAAGGCTCTTGTAATTCTGTTATTGTCAGGAAAGTTCTATAATAATGAGCCCAAAATAGTGACAAGATAGTAAACATTGCACAGTTCCACGGGCCAGAATCCACTCACGTGGTCAGCATCTGTAGTAAAGAGCATGACCTGCGATAAGCCTGACGCGTGATCACATTTCTGTAATCGCCTAATGCCTATACTTGCTAATATTCAACAGATGGACACACATACTGAGGTTTTTTTTTTTCTTTAGTCTTTCTTGTCCTAGAAATGCTCATCTAACCGAGCCCTCCCAGATTTTCCTTTCAGTGCCTGGATTTACACTTCTCCCTTAGGCAGGAAGACCATGGATATGTGGGGGAACAAAAGCCAAGAGTGGTAATGATAGGCCAGCCACCTGGATGGAATGGTGAGGTTTGTGACAGGAACAGGAGATCCGGTTCCTGTCTTTAGAAACAGAAGCCTGAAGCAAAAGCATAGCCTTGCAAAGTGGAAATCAGAATAAGAGGCAATCTGTGTAAGAAGAAACTTGTGGTCAGCGCAGAGGCAGGCAGGGCATCTGGGGCAAAGCAGAAGAGACGCAGGAAAAACCATACATTTTCCTGATGCGAATGAGGGAGGTTTTCCCCCATGAATGATTCAGTGCATTGCATGGATGTACAACTACAAAGAGAGAAATCGGTGAAAGATCACAGAATGTCAGTGGTTGAACAGCGACAAGCAGTGGCAACAGCACCTGTTAACGCAGACAGCCTGTTGATTACCGACAGGACTTGAGAGAATGCAGAAGGGATCTGAGGAGTCTCTGCCGTCAGCATGCTTCTAAGAGTATTACAGCCACAGAAGATGATGGTCAACTAACTCATTGAGGATCAATGTAGGTCTCAAGAAGAGCGGGGGGGAGATTAAGATCGGGACTGAGACTTTGCCTTTAGCCTTCATGACCTGAAGAGTTGAACAATTCTTTCTTGGGGAAATTGGCAGTTAAGAAAGAAACATATCTGTGTTAATTTTATACACACACACACACACACACACACATATATGTAGTAAGTGGTTATTGATGTGCCTTTGTTAAACTATTTAATAAACGTGTGTAGTTCAAAGTGTTTGGGTTCTTCTCAATTTCTATTTACAAAGTCTCATGTTAAAGAAACCCGTTTATGGGTTGTTATACAAGGAAACACCTGAGCTCACCTGAATCCAGGCACTCAACGGTCACAATTTAGGGGTCCAGGTAGGGGCTACTAAGAAAACGAGGCACCTCTGTTAACAGTAACACCTCAGCTCAGTGGCTGTTCAGGGCCTCGCTGAATATCAAGCAAGTGTTGACCACAAACTGAGCACTGGCCAATGGTAGAGACCTCTATAATAAGCAACTCCTTTCTCCTGATGGACATCGTCAGAGATGCTGTAGATCCTGAAGATGCTTTGGACCTCAGGAGTCACTGGGATGAGATTGTGGGGCCAGAGGGGAGGGGCACTCAAACCGTTCAGGAAAAGTGGCGCAGGAGTGTCAGACATGCAGCCACAACCACTACTGTCGTCCTCTAGTCTCCACATCCTGGAGAAATGTCCCTGTGGTAAAAATAAAGATACACAGGTCCAGATACTGTTAGGGGGCTTAGGGAAAGGTCAATCCAAGAATAACGTTTGAGTAATAACAGAGCAAGAAAACCCTTAAATAGTATTCTAAGATTATTATCCTGTCCACAGTTAGTGCTATACCACTTGACCCATCTCCCTCCCAATCTGCTCTCCACATTCCTACTGGGATCATTTTTCTAAGATCGAAAATTCATTATTTCGCTTCCCTGATTTAAAATCTTCCAGACTTAGGGGCGCCTGGGTGGTGCAGTCGGTTGAGCGTCCGACTTCAGCCAGGTCACGATCTCGCGCTCCGTGAGTTCGAGCCCCGCGTCAGGCTCTGGGCTGATGGCTCAGGGCCTGGAGCCTGTTTCCGATTCTGTGTCTCCCTCTCTCTCTGCCCCTCCCCCGTTCATGCTCTGTCTCTCTCTGTCCCAAAAATAAATAAACGTTGAAAAAAAAAATTAAAAAAAAATAAATAAAATCTTCCAGACTTCTTCACTGCCTTAGGGGA